TTTTTTGAATTCGAAGATCCCACCTCAACTAATTATTCACTATTCACATGTCCTCAAGCTGTGTGCGACGTGTTTCCCGGGCCGTTCAACCGTAGAGACAGACCTAGCCCTCTTCTTTATTATCTAAAACACCAATGTGTGAGCCTTCTTGCTAACAAATTTTGGTTGTTGTCCTCCCTCCATACTCGACACCACTAAGGGAATGAAAGTTGAATATGAAAGAGCGCTTCAAAGATAAGTCTCTATGTCTCATTTATAATGGATTTGGCACGAAAGTCAAGAAGTATTCAATGATTGCATATTTAATAATCAAGAGTACCACAAACTTGTTTAAAACTTTAAATTTCCTTGTCCTTATCACATTTGTCACTATCAAAGAGCAAGAGAATAGAGAAACTTTAATATGTGTATTGAAGATGTGTTAGCACAAATCTCAAAGTGTCCCCGGTTAACAGAAGAGATGACTTGGCCCCTTGAGACCCACCAAAGACGAAGGACCGTCCACTTGCCAACTCCTGTGTATTGGGAGGATGGTAATCTCAGGTAGATAAAGAGTAGAACAACTCCTAAAGAATCTACATGATATTATCCATGCAGGCTAATCTAGTGCCCTCCAACCCACATGAGTGAAGCAGACCATTCAGCTCCAAAGTAGATGAAATCGATCCTCAACAAATGGCCACTTGGCCTAATGACCACCCAACCATATCTGTGGGCCCCTGGGCCATATTCATGTATAGACTAAAATACCCCCACCGTACATACGTACGCTAGGGGTACACTATATAATTGTACAAACCCCATTCCGATAAAAAGGAGGTCCATTTCATGAATAAATGTTACGCAAATTTATTGTTCAATACTGCTCTCTGCCTCTCTCTCTCTTATCCTTCAACACTGTATTCCTTAGGCGTGTCTCCTAGAGAGATTTGGATTCAACGGTAATAAGAACATCAACATATTTAAGACGATTCAAAAAACTAATCTGGTGTAAAAAACATATTTTATAGGGAGTCCTTTGTACCGAATAAATTTAGTCAAACATAGACACATTGTGTTGGAATAGATAGTTCTTTCAATAGCTATCAATGATAACTATACTTTCACATTCCATTAGAGTTAAACCTTACCAAGTTTAATGATAATGGTTCACATGTCAAAGCTTATTACGATTAAAGCAGGACTAGGAAGTCCCACTTTCCATTAGAGAGTATAGAGAAAATCTTATCATCCACTATGGGGTTTAAAATTGATTAAATTTGAGGGCTCAAGTTTTTAGAAGTGAATATCCATTAATTTTGAAGTCCTAAGCTGAGAAAAAAGCTAACAAGAAACAAGCTTAATGGAAAGTCATCCTAACATTTGGGTAAAAATAGGCCTAAGCAGCATCCAAATATAAGAAATGTTTCCAGAATACCAAGTTTAGAGGAATAATAAGTCAACAACCAAAATTAGGATGCCGAAATTATAAAATCAGTTTTTCGGCAATCTTCAATTTTCATGTTGTTTTTAAGGATTGTAAATGACGTGAAGCTAAATACATTTTTGGATTTTAAAAGATCGGTTTGTTTTCATAAGATGTGAAGTTTTTTAGAAATTCCACTGCCTAGAGATCTAAAAATGTAACTGCTCATTTTCTTATAATATAATTTAGGTAGAGATAAAGATATTAGACAAATAGCTTAAAATAGAGATTTTAATAAGTTAGAATCTTCCTATGGAAGATAAAAAATTGTGCTTTCAACTGACATTCCAATGATTAAGTTTATCAATTTTTTCCTTAACTAAGGTTCATGAATGTATGAGAGGAATTCCAAGGTATTTTTAAAGAGATTGATTTACATTTGAGATTAAAAAATTCATACAAAAAAGCTATAATTAACTACAATTTTAGAAAAGCAAATCATAAACTTGTTAAGATTAAGCATATAAGGTTATACATATTCATGGGAGATGAGTTGAAATTCCAACTTAGGAATAACTATCATTGATAACTTTAGAAAATATCCCTACCAGTTGCAAAAAACAAAAAAAAAGGAAGAAGATAAGGTAGCCATATCTTAAGCTATCATGGATTTGAAAATATTCATGAAGCTAACAAGTGAAAAAACTGATGAAACTCACCATTAATGATAAAAAATAAAAACAAACATTTGAAATGCAATTCTCAATCCACAAGACATGTTTGTTATAAATACTTTTTATCATGTTTTGAGAAGGTAGAATTTGATAATGATTGGCGACGTCAGATCGATGGTGGTCGACGGTGGTTGACGGTGATCGATGGAGTTCGACGGTGGTTGGCGGGTGGCGGTGATCGAAAACGGTCTGCGATGGTCGAAAAAGGTCAGTGATGGTCGAAGACGATTGACATTGATCAATGAAGATCGGTGGTGGTCGACGACAGTTGACGGTGGTGGTGTTTGACTTCAGCTCCTCGAATCTTGAAGCTCTTCTTTAAATCTTAAGCTCTCCTCCACTTTATGAGAGGAGTGAGACTTTATTTATAATATTTTGAGTGTAATTAATGCATAAATATGAATCACTTTGATCAGATGAATATTTGAGTGCCTTAACGATGTCGAAATTGAGCAATCTTGGGCTCGCTGAATTTATTTGATCAAGACG